CTTGTCTCTCCATCCATGTGTATCACTGGACACTAAGTACACAGTTTCTTTCTTTGTTTCTTTTTTTTTTTTAAATAAATTTATTTATTTATTTTTAGTTTTCAACATTCACTTCCATAAAATTTTGAGTTCCAAATTTTCTCCCCATAGTGCCCAGTTTCTTTAGAGTTATCTCTTCATCCTCAGGAATGCAGAGGTCAGGTCACCTAAGAAATCCACAGTTCTAGACTGTCCAAGAACAATAACAACAAATGCATATTAAATGTCTTTTATGTTAGGCCCTATGCTCAGTGCTGGAAATAGAAAGACAAAAACATAAATTGCAACAGTTCCTGCCCACACTGAGCTTACATTTTACTGAGGATGGAGGGATATAACATGTACACCGAGAAGTAATATAAGATAATTTGAGGAGGCAGGGAATACTAATAACTAGAGGCAGGGTGATCAGCAAAGGTTTCTAGTATTAGATGACAAAAAAGGTTTCTAGTAAGAAGCAAAGGATGGCATGAAAACATAGGTAAAGACATGATTTCCAGAGATGTGGGATGGCCTGTATGCAAAGGCGTGATGGTGGGAGAAGACACGACAAATTCAGGGAGAAGCAAGTAGCCTACTTTGGCCATAATGTGGAGAGATGTGAGATATTGGGAGAGGTTGTTTCTAGCCAGACTTTGAAGGGCTTTGAATTCTAAACTAAGGATTTTATATTTTAAATTCAAATTAATAGGGAGCCACTGAAGCTTCTTGAGTAGGGGAGTAATCGTATCCTCTCTGTGCTTTAGGAGGATTATTTTATGGCAGATGTATGGAACCTAGACTGGAGAGGGAAACTGTGGGAAACAGAGAAACCAATTAAAAGGCTACAATAGTTCAAGCAACAGGTGACGAGATCTAGACCTTGAGTGGTGCCCGTGTGACATCCCAGATAACCTGACTTCTGCATGTGTATGCCCAGCAGAATTATAACTAGGATTTTTTTCCCACTAGGATAAAACAGTTAGGGTGGCAAGGTGACAACAGAACAGAAGATGGTTAAACTGCAAGCATAATTGAGTTTTGAGTCCGGCTTTTACCCCTGCAGGGATAGGGGGTTGAAGGTCAAAGTGGTGAGGTTCTTGGGATGGAGGCATCAACCTGATAGGATCCTGTTAGGATCTATATGCTACAGGATAACAACCTCATAGGCTGTTACTCTGGCCAAGCAATAGAGTAGCTAACACAGGTTCCCTTCTCCATGAACTCTGTCACTGTGTAAACCACAGAGGTGAGCAGAAGCGTTTGAAGTATGGGAATGACAGTCTTCTCAACTGGAAGTAAGCACCATCCCTCTCCGCCATGGAGGAAGTGTTCCCTCTTCTACGTCAGAATCTTTGGACAAAGCTCCAATTGTCCCACTACAGTTGTAGTTCTCACATCCAGGGTATAATGGACATGTCTACAACAAATATTAGCTTGTGTCTAAAGACTTAAAGAAGAGTGCCTGAAGGTACTGATGATGGTTTTGAGAAGGGAGAAGCTCTGGCAATCTAGATTTAGGCCAAGACAAAATGCATTTTATGAAAGGTAGACATTATCTAAGCCAATGACTTTGAGAGGGAGAAAGGCTTGTGGTGCTCAGCTAGAACTCAGTTGAATCCAACTTCTGGATCCTTTCAGTCATCCAGTAGAATTAATACCATTAATACCAGTCCTCATTACTTTTTGGTTTGGATTTAGACCAGACGTGCCTGAAGGATTTGGCGTCTCTGGTTTTCTATAGTTCCTATGGAAGACAGGATCTGGTATATCCGGGGTAGAATTGTTATGTATTGGCCCATCTGATTTTGTCACAAGAAAGGCTTCCACTGTTAGGAAATACATTACCTCCAGAAGTGCAGCCCAATCCAATTGGGGCAATCCTGTTTTTTCCCTCTATTGAATCAAAATCTGCCTCCCTATAATTCCCATTCATTGGTTTTCATTTTTTCCTCTGGGGCCAAGCGGAATGAATCTAATATCTCTTCCACATGAAAATCTTTCAGATATTTGGAGAGAGATAATGTCTTTTCATCTCCAGGCTAAGCCTTTGTGGTTTCTTCAACCAGTCTTCACATGGCATGGCTCTGAGCCGCCTCACCATCTTGGTCCCTTTCTGGAAATACTGCGGCTATAATCTTGGGCATGTCACTTATTCTCCTCTTCCCCATTAGCCTCATTTTCCTCATCTGCAAAAGGATATGGTTGGATTAGGTGGCCTCTGAGGCCAGTCTTAGCTTTAGCTCTGTTGTCCTATCATCCTGTTCACCCTTGCCAGGCATCCTGCAATCAACACTCCCACATTTATGAAGACCCTCCCCCTCAACCCTGAACTCATTCTTTGTAGACGTCTGTCTTCCTTCTAGTTTTAATAAACTCGTCTACCTCAATCATTTAAGGCTCATCCTTACTCTTGTATCTCTCACACATCTTTTCCTGCTCGTCTTTCCCAGTCGCTTTCCTGGCCATTACAGATGAATGGACAAGGGGCAGCTAGGTGGTGCAGTGGATAGAGCTCCAGCCTTGAAGTCAGGAGGACCTGAGTTCGAATCTGGTCTCAGACACACAACACACAACATGTACTAGCTGTGTGACCCTGGGCAAGTCACTTAACCCCAATTGCCCAGCAAAAAGCAAGCAAGCAAACAAACAAACAAACAAAAACAAATGAATGGACAATGACATAATTGATATTGAGAAGACCTTGGAGAGGAGACTATTAATCAAGGCTACACCCCTTACCCCTTCTTTTCCACTGGATCTAGGGCCAGTTCAATAGGAGAGCCATTCAGACTCAGAAATTCTATAGTACCTTCCATTTTCCTCTTCTTTCTGGATTTTAGGTAGGAGAGGAAGGGAGATGGGGGAAGGAGATGTTAAGATCCTCCAGGGGAGAGTTCTACAGTGGAGAATCTGGTGGGTGCCTTCCTGGATCTACTTAGAACTCTGAGAGGAAGGGCTAGGAATAAATCAACCCACTTCCTTAGAGCCTTCTTTTCCCAGACCTGGATAATGTCCTTCAGGCCTGTTCCTACAAGGCTTTTGGTGGCAAGAGGATGAGAGTTCACATTTGATCTGGGTGTTTTCTTACTTGGAACTACCTACCTGTTAAATGTGGAATCTTTGAAATCTGTCTTCCTTCAAAACTCATCTCAAACTTCATCTTTGGGAGGAGGTCTTTCTTGGTTCCCTCAGTTGCTAAGATTACCTTCCGTCTACTCTATATTTTGTAAGTACCTATTAATATCCATTCAATGCAAACTCCTCAAAGACAAGAGTGTTTTTGCTTTTTTTTTTTTTTGTATCTCTAGTGTTTAGAATAGTGCTTGGCCCATCCTGAGCAAACACTTGGCATCTATAGGATTATAGCTGTAGAATTGGAAGGTATTTTAAAGGCCATCTAGTACAACCCTTTAATTTTACAGATATAGAACCCAAGGCCCAGGGAGGGTAAATTAATTGCTCAAGGTCATGCCAGTAGTGAATGTCAGAGGTGGGATTTGAACTCAGGTTCTTTGAATCCAGAGCTAGCACTTTTTTGTTCTGTACCAGGCTTGTTGATTGATGTAATGTAAAGTACCTGGAACTCTTTGATGAGAGAGAAAGAGAGGAAGACAGAGGAAAAAAGGAAGAGAATAAGAAAAAGAGAGAAAGGGAAATGAGTGGGGAAAAGAAGAATAAGAGAAAATATATGGGGAGAAAGAAAGAAAAATGGAGAGGAGGAAAAAAAGTGTGAGACGTTTTGGCTGTCCTCCATCCATGCCTCCTCTCTGGGACACCTGTGTTGGCTGCCTCCTGCCCATCCCTAGAACATGTGGCATAGTGCCCCGTCCCTAGCTCTCAGGTGTGTCTGAAACCAGTGGAAGGAGAGAAAGCCATTGCTACTTCCAGGCTCTTTGTCACCCAATGCTTGCTGTGGCTGGTGGCAGACAGGTATTCGGTGTCCCCTTGGGGGATTTGGTTCTTGGGCTGGCAAGAGCTGCAGATACATTTATCTGACTGCCTTCCAGGCTGGCAAGGGAACTGCTTCTGAATTTTTTTCTCTCTCTTCCTGTCTTTCATTTCTCTCTTCTTGGACTGACAAATGGTTCCCATAATGGACCCAACCCCAAGGAATGGGGGCCCAATTACTTTCTTGGCCTTGATGGGTCTTGTGGGACTTTTTGGTGCTTGTCAGATGAGAGATTGATAGAGCAGTGAGAACTGGATCTCATGCTGGAGGCCACGAAGCTGTTGGACTAATGACTTCCTTATTAATATGCATGAGCTGTCTCATTTAGCGGGTGCTCTTGGGACTTGATTAAAGTAAGGAGGACTGCTGCTGTGGGAGAGACCAGTGTGCAACTCAGTTGGCTGTGCCTTCTGTCTTGGAGAGAGCAGGGACCATGTCAGTCTGGTGGGGGTAGATTTAGACTTTTCTGAGCAAGCTGCCCATTCTTTCCTTCCTTCCTTCCTTCCTTCCTTCCTTCCTTCCTTCCTTCCTTCCTTCCTTCCTTCCTTCCTTCCTTCCTTCCTTCCTTCCTTCCTTCCTTCCTTCCTTCCTTCCTTCCTTCGTGTGAGTGTGGGGGTGATTATATACTAGTGAGTGTGGATGTGAAGGAAATCTAAAGCTAAAAATCACAGGAGAGTATTTGTTTGTGAGGGTGTGATCCTGAAGGTATATGTGGGTGGAATGTGTGGGTATGTGGGGAGTTGCAGCATTTATGGGAGAGTATATGTGGGGGTTGGGTGGATAGCTGGAGAGAGAGGGAGAGAGAGAGAGAGAGAGAGAGAGAGAGAGAGAGAGAGAGAGAGAGAGAGAGAGAGAGAGAGAGAGATGTGATTAATGGCAGACATGCTTGTGTTAGGATGTGCAGGGAGATAGAGGTGTACATGTGAACAGCCTTGTGTATAAGGGTGTAGATGAGAAAAAGGTAGAGAAAATGGCTTCCTAGCCCACGGAAGGCTCTCTCTTAACGTCTGCCCTGTGTTTGTTCCCATAGGTGCCAGGAAGGGGCCATGACCATGTAGACGCCAGCCCTGGGGAGTAGCAGCATGGGCAGCGCTGAATGGGGACGCCTGGGTCTGCAGTCTTGAGACCCACCACCACTGACCTTCGAACTGGGATCCCTGTGTGTTGAGGTGTTCCTTTCCGAGCTTGCCACAGCTGCCGCCACACTGGCCCGTCTCCATTTTCTCCCTTGGAATTGGAGCTGACTGCTCAGAGTTGCTAAAGTTGCTTCCTTCCCGAAAGCCGTATAGACTTATAGCTCTAATTGGGAACCTGCTTCTTTCTTCCCCTACCTAAAATAAATAGATAAGTAAGAAAATAATAATAATAACCCTTGGATCTGCCCAAAGTGGAGCAGGAACCTCAGCAAAAATGGGAGACATGACCAACAGCGATTTTTATTCTAAGAACCAGAGAAATGAGGCCAACCATGCAGGCGAGTTTGGGTGTACAATGGAGGAGCTTCGCTCCCTCATGGAACTGCGGGGGACAGAGGCTGTGGTCAAAATCAAGGAGACCTATGGGGACACTGAAGGGATCTGTCGGCGTTTGAAGACCTCGCCTGTGGAAGGTAGGTGCCAGCCCCTTGGAATTCCAAATCCTGAGCCCTCTGATGGCCCTATGAGGATGCTTCCTTTTTATTTTGAAAGTAGGGCTAGAATGAGAAAATCTGAGAACTGGGGAGCTACAGAGGCAGCAGTCAAGAGGGAGATTGGGAAAGAGCCAAAAAGGTGTTAAAATGGAAATGCCAAGATCAGCAAAGATAGCTCTGCTGAATGAGGTAACAATTGCATCCCGAATATCGGACAAGAGAAGGCATGGAAGGCCTAGGCACGGTATCCCTTTGGTGGAGGAGCAGGGTTTGCAGTCTGTTAGCTAGACAAGGAGAGAAACTGAAACCTTGTTTTCCTCGTCTGATCAGTTCCTTTGACATGAAACCAACCCTTTGGTGTCATTATTTCAGTGGCCAGCTGTTCACTGGAAACCTTGTTGTGCTTCAGGGTCCTCTGTTTTCATGTCCCCTGTTCTGTTTGTCTCATGTGCAAGCGTGGCTCCACCCCACCTCCAGATCCCTAGAAACAGCTGCTGCATTGCTCGTCTCTCTTCCCATCCCACCTGCAATCAGCACCACGCTGAGCCCCCACCCTGATGTTGTTACCTTGCAGTGGCCTGGAGAACACCAAAGGAGCTTAGTTTCATTTTTCCATTTAGTAAAATGTATTCGAGAGGAACTTTTCTTTAAGGTGAAGAGAGGCCACAATAGCCTCTCATATTTGTACCCGCTTTAAAAAAAAAGTCTTGACTCTGTTTTAAAAATGAGAGCTAAATCCTGACTTTTCTGATGCTTCCTTACCCATCTCCAGTGTACTTCTATGCCTCAGACTTTGCTGGGAATCCCTGGGAATTCTTGAGTCCTCGAGCTGCTGGCTAAGGATGAGGGCAGTTATGGATTGAGGCAGGTGGCAAGGGGCAGAGGGCTTTCATAGCAAAATACAGCCTCGGCACCCACTCTGTTTAAAGTCTCTTGGGTCCATCTGGCAAAGTAATGCCTGTGTTGCTTTCCTGTGGATGTAGGATTCTTTTAGATTCATGAGGAAAGAACTGTTGCCACTAGCCAAGGCATGGGCTACTGCCAGGTTTGGAATAGGTAGAAATACCATTTTCAACTTTGTAATAGACATTATTTAGGGAAGTCTTCTTGGCTATCCTTTATTCAGAACCCAGAGAAATGGAAAAGGGAGGCTGAGAGGTCTGGGTTTTGACGTTGTCAGCATGAGTGCCATCCAGAGTGGAGCTATCTCCAGAAAAGGGAGATGACAGTTTATGCTCTATTTGTTCCTGATCAGGCTTCCTTTGGTACGCTGGGTTTGGTTCTGGACAGTACGTGTTAGGGAGGATGTAGAAGGAGAAAGTAAGAGGACTAGAGAGCATGCCACATAAGGACAAGTTGAAAGAATTGGGGATTTTCATTAGGCAGGACAAGATTTCCCTATCTGCAGCTGTTTGAAGGACAGTCCTGTTGAAGAGGGAATTGCCTTGTTCTGCTTGGGCCCAGAGGGCAGAACTGGGAGAAATGGCTGGAAATTTACAGAAAAGGAAAATACAGAGAAAGAAATTTAAAGTTAATATAGGGAAAAGCTCCTTGGCAATTAGAGCCCTTGGTCAGTGGGTTCCCCATCAGTGACCATATTCCAACAAAGGACAGGTGATCACTTGTTGGATGTTTTAAAGGGAGTTCTTGGGTAATAGGGTGCACTAGATGCCCTCTGAGTGCCCTTCCAATTCAGAGGTTTGGGGATTCTATGAAGCCATTCTATGAAGTTTCCTGGAAAGGGAAAAGAGTTGAGCTAATGGTCTCTAGGAATCCTGAGATTCTCGGAGCTGGGATGAAATAGATAAGGGGATCCTTGAAGGAAGAAATGACATTGCAGGCCTAAGGGCTGGCTTACCCAGTGCTCTTTGCACTTTTGGACACTACAGTAAGAAGGAGTCGTTGCGGTGTGGGACTGAAGCTGGGCTCTTGAGGGCTTTGCTGGGGTGGAGTGGGGGGGGCAGTCCTGGCCGATCCTACTGAGCTGGAAAGACTCAGAAGGGTGGTTGGCTGAAGGATGTATTTCTATGGTCCTACAACTGGGCTCTGGCTTCAGAACCCCTTCCCTAGGTTAGCCACAAGGTTCTACATGTAGAAACTCACAAAGACCATCTCCTAGGGCCCACAGAATTGGGGATCTGCATTTGGGAAGAGAGGACCCAAAACAAGGAAATTATAGAGCCTTGAAGATTGATAGCATGTAGTGGGGAATAGTCGTGGGAAGGAGTATAGAGTGAAGGCCTGAATCAGGCACAAGAGGCCATAGGGAAAGGGTATGTAGAGTCAGAAGCAGGTGCTAAGTCTAGGGTGGAATAAGTGAAGAATAAGGATGAAGAATGCAGCAGGGTTAGCAAAGGGAGGGATAACGTGGCGGCCTCAGTGGCCCAAGTGTAGGAAGTGTGAATGGGAAACACTGTCATGGTGAGTTGTTTTGGGCCTTTCCTTTCAGGCACCTCTTTGCTTAGTGTGGACAGCTCTATCTGTCTGTTTGCACAGGCAGCTTCCTCCGTGCCATGCTCAGAAGTCCCAGATTCCTGATTACTGAACAGGGACATCAGTCAGGTTGTATCTTCAGCGTCAGAGGCCCGCAGACCTAGAGCTGGGAGGGCCATTGGAGGCCAGCCAGTCCTGCACCTTCATTTTAGAGGTCAGGGACAATCAAGGAGCAGGGAGCTGAGGGCATTTGCTCATGATCACAGGAAGGAAGGAGCAGAGCTGGGATTGCCAGCCCAAGGTCTCTTTCCATTGCTTTGCACTCATATCTCATTTCGGCCTTCCCAAGTTAAATGGGGCATGTACACATAGAATCCAGAGGAGGGAGATTGGCACGATGGGTGAAGGCAGTGGTAGGGAGACACCACTGGATTTAGAGTCTGAGGCAGTGTTCAGGTCTGGCTTCTGCTTCTTACTCCTTGGACACATTACCTTCTCTTTCTAGGCCTCAGTTTCCTCTCCTGTAAAATGGAGAATTAGACTATATAACGTCTACTGTTCCTTCTGTTTCTAAAGCCTATGATCACAGTGTCATAGATTTAGGGCTGGATAGGGCTGGATGTTCTTATGACTTTGACCTTTCTCAGAAGAGGGTGAAAGGGAAAAGGAATGTCTAACCTTGAGGTTAAATTACTTGCCCAGAGTCATACAGCTAGTGAATGTCAGAGCCAGGATTCAAACCTAGGGCCTCTGGCTCTAAATCCAGTGTCTATTTAATTGCACCCCACTGCCTTAAATGACTTGTGAAGATTCATGTGGCTAGCAAGCATTGGAGCTGGGACCCAGTCTTATGTTCTCTTATCTCTGTCTTTCTGTCTGCCTGTCTGTATTTCTCTCTCTGAACTATGACCTCCATGACAATGGGGAACATGTCTCATGGTTCTTTGTATTTAGCTCCGATTCTCCTTACCCCCTCTCAGGATGCATCCAGCACAGAGCTGGGGGTATAGTATCCTACCCAGTAAATGCATATTGATTGACTGACGGAGGCATTTGTTGCATCTACCCAGTAGGGAGACCAGTGCTGGAACTCCTGATAGAACTCAAGTGATAGGTCCCAGAAGCTGGCCAGACAACCCCAGCATTTTTAGGTGGAGATAGACCAAGTAGGAAAAGAGATGCTCTCTGCCACCTTGCTGTATATTAATAATAGCAATAATCCATTTCTGTAGTGCTATATGATTCATGAAATGGTTTCCTCATACAAGCCTGGGATGTAGATAGTCCAAGCATTATCATTTCCATTTTACAGATGAAGAAACTGAGTCTGAGAGGTCAAGTAACTTGACTATGATAATGCAGCTAATAGGTTTCAGAAGCAAACTGCAAACTCAGGTCTCTTGACTCTGAAGGCCCAGTACTACCACCCCATGCTATGTCCCAAGCCTCAGTTTCTCCCTTTGGTAGCTACTTCATTGAGTGGGCTTCTCTTCCCCTCTCTTGGTTTTCTGTAATGCACTTGTCACCTCTCAGCCCAAAGCCTTCTTTTCTTTGTGACTCAGACCAATGATTGCCTTCTTCTAGGTAAGAGAATCTCTCAGGGCAAGGTGACATAGATATGCAGAGGCCAGGGCTCTTGAATGAGGGAAGAAGGGAAGAGAAGGAGGCTGACAGGGCCAGGGCAGCTGGTATCTCTTTACATTCCACCTGCCCTTGGCCTTCGTTGCCCTGGTTATTTACCAGACCTGGGTACTCTTCCTCCCCTCACTGAGCCTCAGAGCTGAGCTGATGTTTTCCCTTGCTCTTCAACCCCCTCCTCTTCCAGCCCCTTCTTCTCTCTGGTGCCTCCCACCTCCCCAGGTGCCTATTCTGCATCTTTTTTTCAATGGCTATGATTTTGACTGACTGTCAGCTCATCCCCCAAATGTCAGCTAATAGCCTGTGATGTTCCCTGTCTCAGAACAGTCACTAACACCCAATTCCCACTCAATCCCCAAAGCACTTATCATGCACCTTTTGGGTACCACACATTGTACGAAGTACTGGGGATACAATGACAATAACAAAAGAGTCCTTGCCCTCAGATAGCTTACATCCTACAGAGAAGTAAATTAATGATCATTTGGGGTAGAAAGAGCAATCACTAAGAATAGGCATAGTGGCAAGAATACTCAACTTGGAATCAGAAAGACCTGGGTTCAGATCTCACTTTTGGCGCTTACATGGGACCTACAACCTTAGAAATCCTAGACTTACGTTTAAGACACTTAATATCTCCAAGCCTGGACTTGGTGTTACAGGTCCCAAGTTCAAATCCTGACTACCAATTACTATCTTTGGAAGCTTGGGTCAGTTAACTTCTCTGGGCCTCAGTTTCCTCATCTGTAAAGTGAGGGAGTTGAATTAAATAATCTCTAAAATTCTTTCTAAATCTAGATCTCTGCTACTAAGTCAGCAGTCTGTAATTATTTTACAGATGGGCAAACAGAGACTCAAGAAGGGGAAGATCCTTGCCCTTCCTTGATCATTTAGGTAGAGAGTGGAGC